CTAAAGGGTACAGAGAGTCACGACAATCGGGACATCAACTCTATAGATGGTTGCAACTGATGTTAGGGACGAATTTTAGGGTCGATTTTTGAACAGAGAACTATCCGATAATGCTGCTTTATTTACCGGATTTATAATGCATTTTCTCTGAAATAAAGCAGCATTATCGGATAATGCTCTGTTCAAAAATCCACCCTTAATGCCTAATATTTTTTTTCATCGTACCCATTCTACACTTATGACTTCAGATAGCAAAAATAAGCTTGCTGTTGTTTCTCGGCACATTCTTCGTGATTTTCTTGAGTTTAGCTGAAAATCCTCAACAAAATCTCCTTAGGGAGACATATGAGGTAAGTCCCTGTATAGCATGTATAGGGAGATCATAAAGTTACAGACTGATTTCAAAAGTGATGTATTTGGACTTGAATAGCTAAATGGATCAGGAGAACTTGGTTCGTCCATTCAAAAAGTCTCAAACTAGTAATAACCAACATGTCTTCGTTGTCAGACCACTACACGTCATTTTTATTCTCGATAACCATTGGAAAATGCACGGTGGTTTCTTGAGCAATCAAGATCTCTCAGGAAAGAAATCTGACATATACGAGTACGAGGAAGGGGGGGGGGGAAGTAGAAGAGTTCGTGCACTTTATTTTTTATACTCATAACGCTTGTACCTATAACCTGCATCTTGATATTTTATGATGGTATGGCAAGCCTGCATGACATTCCTTAAATTTCGCAGATTGACAAACCTTGCCAGAGCGGAAGTAAACAAAGATGGCTGAGGACCCTGTGAGAGAGCAGCGGATTGCGACGAAACTCTTTGCGATTGAGGGTGAGAAGGTCGCATCCACCCACAAACGGCAGCAAAATGTTCATAAGAACCAATGCTTGAAAAAAAAGGAGCCGTATTCTAGTGGGTGGAACGTTTTAAATCCGGACGAACATCGATTGAAGGTCGCATAGGCCGCCCCAGCACGTCTGTCGCTGGAGTCAACATTCAACGTCTGGACGAGCTCATTCGGGCAGACCGTCGCATTTCAGTCGATCGATTGGAACATCAAATTGGTCCTTATAAATATTTTGCAGCCATTTGTGGATGGATGCGGCAGGGTGGACTAGCGCAGCAGTATTCAAACTGCGGCTCGCGGGGTGCATGCGGCCCAATTCATGTTTTTATGTGGCCCACTTCGATGTACTAGGAATTGACTTTCTAATATTTAATCCTTCAACCGACACTCATGAATAATGGCGATAAATATTATTTTTTGCAGAATTGGATTATGTCGTTCATAAATAGTTCAGTCACTGTTAAGACATTCAGGTTCTCATTGTATGCTTACATTTAGATGTTTATGCATTTAAATGAGCACCTGCTGAACTTGCCAAACATTTTGGAGAATGTATATACTGCAAATACTGTATAAATGTCTTACCTTGCAAGTAAATAGTGAAAGATCAGAGAAAAGGTGTGCTCTTCGAAGAAACAACCTGTAACAAAGCCTCACTAAGAACCTGAATCCAAAAAGTGGCAGTTTCACTGCGTACAAGAATGTGTAGATGGGACAGGTATGGACATTTTCCATGGCCACTCATTCTTAAAATAAGATTTCCTGGCATAAAGTACTTTGACATGGAAATCGAGCGGCCAGTTAAACCTTGCAGAATTCTTGGATATTTTTCAATGCGACCCACTCCAAGCCGACCAGCGTATTTGTGCGGCCCACTCAAGGTGGACCAAAGTATCCGTGCGGTCCAATCTTCAAAGACTCTGGGGACCACTGGAATTGGCGACATAGGGGCCCCCACCGCAGGTACGGAGGCTCTTTGGTTTGGGGAGGCCCCTTGGGAAATTTCCCGGTATCCCGGTGGGTCAGTCCGAACCTGGGATGCGGCCTTCTCACCCTCAATCACAAGGAATTTCGTTACAATCCGCTGCTCTCTCACAGGGTCCTCAGCCCATCTTTGCTTACTTCCGCTCTGACAAGGTTTGCCAATCTGCGAAATCTAAGGAATGTAATGCAAGCTTTCCATAATCATAAAATAACGATGCAGATTTTAGGTGCAAGTGTTATACGTATAAAAAAAAAAGTGCACGAATATTTCTACCCTCCTCTTACAAGCTCATAGTTGTGTATCAGTTCCAAGGGTATAGCACTGAATAGCATTCAATACTTCAATCCCCCTGAAAAAAGTACGCACATTTTTTCTGAAATCGGTTGCTTTTAATATCATCCAGCATGTATCTCCGCCTGTCTGTGAGGGGGTTCTTTATTGTCAATGTTAGAAGACTAATTGTCCTCTTTCCTTCCCCCCCAGTCCAACCGGAAATTGAATCTTTCGCCGCAAGGATCTAAAAGTAGAACTCTCCCACATCCACACTTTCCACAGTTGCACTCCTATTGTTTCATGATGTCCTGATTTTGTTGCGTCACCATCCAGAATGACTTTTAGCCAGGAATAACAGCAGTGACTGCCTATTCTCATTGCAGGCCAGAACTGGATCAAAAAAAGGGCACTAGACACCAGGTACGTGAGGTGAACTTTCCAATTCCACCCATCAGCCCAATTTGGGCAACAGTTCCAGTCAAGACTGAGGACCAGGATCGATATCCTCACACCCAATAATTGCAAATTATTTGTATAGATGTATGTAAACTGGATGTGTGAATGCGACTCCAACAAGGGAAAAAAATTGCTTTCCCTTCTGAACAAGAAAGCAACTCTTGGCATAATTGTAAATATCCTTCTCTTGAATATTGTTGAAGTTCTCCTCAGTTTAGATCTCTGTTCATAATACTAAAGAACTTGAAATGAACACAAAGTAGTCATAAGCCCAGGTTTCTTGTTCATCTAATCAACCTTGAACATGCAATGAACCAAATGTGCAGTTGATGGAAATGAAGGATGAAGATATAGCTAGTTGCCCTTGGGAGCACCACATCCCAGAAAGAGAATGCAGAGAAGAGCACAAATGGGTATTTAATCAGGGCTGAAAGAGATGGCTGAGTGCTGCTCCTGCTACATGCTCCTCTATAATTGTTCCATAGACCAGCATATGGAGGTACAATGAAAAAATATGCCCACATTCCCACCTTCCTTGAAAATCATCACACAAATGGAAACAGGAGGAAAAGAACTCCATTTATCTCTGAACATCATGGCTTCAATAGCATATTTCTTCTCTTGACCCACTGTATCACTAAACTGGTAGTGACAGTTAACATCACCATTGCCAACAACAGGACGTTTTCCTGCAACTGAAGATGACATCAGGGTACATTCTAGTGTCATGCAAGTCATGACTCCTTCTTTGAAGAGATGTTGTTTGGGTTCCTTCTGGGGTCATGCAAGTCATGATTCCTTTGGAAATAGAGACTCTAAGCTGTTCCAATCTGAGAATATTTAACAAATGGCCACCAAGTCACTCTAAGGACAAATAACCAAAGAGAAAAGACAGGAGCAAACAGCAAGACAGCTTCAAAATATCAAAAGTACAATTCTTCTGGAGAGCTCCTAGTCAGATTGAGCAACTGTTCCTAAAGGTGATGCTCTGAATATGACAAATCTCTGTAATTTCTTTTTGTACAGTCTGTATCACAGGAACCAGTAATCCCAGGAAAGCACTCACACCCAAAAGATGACAATTAGTAGGATTATACCCAATCCTACAATGGAAGCAAACCTTCAAAAACAACTTTCTTAACCTTCCCTCAGTATTTTCAGTCATACCAAATCTGTTTTTGAAGCACAAGCAAGGACAGAAACATTCAAGAGAAATGGCACATTTTCATGCAAGCATAACAACATATCACACTTCCATAGGACAAAGGGATATAGGCATTGAACATTCATTGCAGAATGGATGGTTTCTCCTCAAGAGAGTTTAAAGCATGGAATACTCTATTGTTGATGGATTTCAGATGACAGATTTATTTATTTACTTTTTCATTCAGAAATCTGAGTATCATCTGAAGAGGACTTCACAGATATCATCACTTCAGAGAAACCTGAAACAATGGATTCTCAAAACCTGAAACAACAGATTCTCAAACAGCACAGAAAGAATGAAAATATCCATTAAATGAGTTATGCACACCAATTCTTTTCCTGAAAATTCTTCAGACAAAAACATATCAACATGAAGTAAACGGATATATAAATGCCAGAAATTTACTCAACAACTATGGCTTCACATTGAATTGGCAGAAAGGAGATGGATATGGTATCTCACAGATGAGACAATCTGTGAGAGAAAGCATACATAAAGAGGAAGAACAGGAGATACTACTCCACTCAGCATATGGTATGAACATACCTCACCCTGTGATGTGCAATGCAGTACAAAAATGATGCCTAAAGGAAAAGCTGGTTCTGCCAAGCTATATGATAGGACAACACCCATGCTCAAGCAATACATAATTGCCTGATAATCACACCGGGACCAAGTACAAAACTATTGCAACTAAACCCCCAAGAGCCATGACAACAGACTAACACACTGAGGTACTAGTACTTGAATAATAAACTCATTTAAGCCTAGCATTGAGATCTCAGGAGAGAAGGGACTGACAGTTCAACAAAAGGGATACATACAGAACACCAAATAGGCTATATATGTAGTGAAGAATTTATGGAAAATATAGAGAGGATCCTGAATAAAAATGGCTCATTGATGGCAACAGGCAGAAAAAAAAAGGACCAGAAAGGAAATCCTGTCATGTCCTTTACTGCTTTCATGCGCTAGATTTGACCAAAATGGACGACTTAGAACACTCATTGAGGGTTGGGGGGTGATGGAATTCAGAAAATGTGTCCTATCAGCTTTAACATCACACATATCACTAACTGTTCTAATCACAGAGGCACAGTGCAACAGTCATCAATCTTTTCCTTCCATGCCTCCTTCATCCTCCAGGTACAGATGATGTGGAGAGAGCAAGACAGAGTGAGATGCTACCCGTAGCATTTTTGAGAATAGGGTTCACTCCTCTGCCTCAAAAGTTGAAGGGGTCATTGAAGTTGTGACTAGGCAACGAGGTTTCGATCGAGGGGTTGGCTGCGGGCGGAGTGTTACCATTGGATGCCTCCAACTGCTTCATGATGTGATGGGACATATAGCTGGAAACAGTGACTGGGTTGTACAATGACTGCTCAGCCTGATGGAATCCCGTCATGATGTCATCAAACTGGCCTCTGTCATTCCCTGACATCATATAGTGATGAGGTAGTCCAGTTCCTGGTAGACCTATCCCTGACTCTCCCATCATCATAGGCTTTCGTGCATAATCATCTTCCCCCTTCATGGCACTTTCACCAGATGCTGCTCCTTCCTCAGACCTGGTCAGGTACTCCAACACAGTTTTCAGCTGCTCCACCTCAGCTGCTTTGCTCAAAGATGAGCCTGCCTTCCCAGTATCATACCCAAGGCCTGGGAGAATTAAGTCACCTGGTTGGGTACCATAGGATTCACAAGAGTATGAATATGTCAAATTATCAAGACCAGAGAGCCCACAGCTGATGTTGTTTGGAGTTGGTGGAGGTGTGATACAATCTCTCACCTCTTCAAGACTATCTTCTTCATGTTTCACCTTTGGTGAAGGGATTTCATTGAGTATGTTTTCAGCTGGATTTTCTTCCAAGGGTCCAAGGCCACCCTTTGCAAAGAAAGTATCAAAACTTGGGAAACTGGAGAGGTTGGGCTGATGTAATGGGAATTCAGGGAGGGACATGGACTCAGAGCAGTCATCTGGTGTTTCTGGTTCATGCTTTCGGGCCTCGATGCTCAAATCGCTCGCATGACGTCGCTTGGGTATTGCCGAACCCTGCTCCAAGGTTTCCCAAATTTTTGTACTAATCATGGCTGTCCCTTGGTCCCAGGTGTCATAGGGGGCAAGAACGATACTGCCCAACTGATTTCGGATCTCTTCGACGTCCCTTGCTGACAGCCGCAGGTGTGCCTCATTCCGACTGTCATTCAGAGTCCTCAAATCCACCAGCTTCGTCAGGAGCTTAGGATAGGTAATGCGAGCGTTTCGGGCTCCATACCGCCAACCCATGTATTTGCGAAGAAGAATAAGAAACTTCTCTTGAACAACACCTATCTGGTGCGGATCCTCCAATCGTGGACGATCAGGGGAGAAAAGAACCACCATGATCATAATCATGATCGAGGGATCGTCAGGTGACAAGTCTTGAACGCCTCTGATGAACTTCATGTGAAGCTGATAAAGGTGAGGAGACACAAGCCTCTGCATGTCGTCAACTTTCAGTTGAGGGCAATTTTTGTAGAGGCTCAGGTTACAATTGGGCCACCGGGCGTTGTCAGAGTCGAAAACGAGGGCTCCACGGAGGAGACACATCTCCAGGATTCCATCCTTGAGCAGGATGACCTGGTCATGATGGGAGATGCGAGCAAATTCAGCGATCATCTCCGCATAACGATGGAATCGTCGGATGGCCGTGGAGAACATCTGAATAATCTGGGAACTGGGACGCTGCTCATTGAAATGTGACAGTCCCTGTTCATAAGGGACCTCGTGGAATGCTTTCTCGTAGTTCTTCACCAGTTCTTCAATCGTATGAATGCCATCCTTGCTCAACCACTTCTCGAGATCCTCCATCCGCGGTTCATATGATTTCATCTCCAAGGATGTTGACTGCTGAGGTTGAGGTCCGGGATCGGTAGTCGCCGAGTCGACCTCCTGGGGCCTTCCGCGTTGCTGATACTTCTTATCCATTCGCTGTTTCATGAGTTCCTTCCTCTCATCCTCACTCATCACCCAACCCCTTTCCATTCCGATGCCCAAGCATTTCTCGAAGCGGCAAAACTGACAGCATTTGCGCGATGACAAGGTGATTTTGCACTGTCGTCCATGTGCACAAGTGAATCCCTTGTACACATCATTCTGCACAGAGCGACGAAAAAAAGCCTTGCAGCTATCACAGGCCAAACCGCCAAAGTGGAAACTTTTGGCCACGTCTCCACATACTCCACATGCCCTCGTGGGCTTCTCCCTCCGCCATTCTTTCTTACGAGCTCCCACACGGATGGTGGTTGTGGAGGTGCAGGTAGGGCTAGTGACCGAGCCTTGACTGCTTGGGGTGTAGAGTGAGGGCGGAGTGGAACGAGAAGATAACGAAGAACAAGATGACGACGATGATGATGATGGAGAGGGGGCAGAGGTAGAAGGGGACACTGCTCCCCGAGCTGAGCCATCCATGTTATCCAGCATCACCATTCAGTCAATCTAATTCATCTGGAAAGAAAAATCAATCAGTTAAAAGCAACAAAACGTGTGCCGCTTATGTACTTGAAGCTTTTCTAGAATTATGGCCCGTTTTATGTGCAAGGCATTTATATGTTTATTTTTTAATGTGCATTTCAAATGCCTGTCAGATGGAAACGCATAAGCAAAGGAACATCTAGGATATTTTCCAATTACAAGTATTGGTAGCTTGGCAAAAGTCTTCATTTTGGCTTTTGAGTGATGCGGCTGATATAGAAAAGTACCTGATCAAGAAAATGACTAGAGATACAAACTTTAACATTAATGCTGAATCATGGGGATGAATTGGCTCGTCTAATTTGGCCATGAGCCGATTGCCAGAACTAATGACAGGAGGATAAAGGAGAGACTGGTTTCAATCCCCCATCAATGAGAAAGATCAATTTGGATTGGATGACAACTTCAAAGGATCCGCGAGCCAGAGGAGGCGGGAGGGGATCTAATGAACACGTGGCTTCTTTCAATGCTGTAGCTAATAAGTGATGCCGCTGACATTTGAGGCTCCCTAGATTGAACATGCATTTTCCATCGAAAGAACCTCCCCCGAGATTCCTGCCTGTCATCAATATTTGAAAAGCGCAAGGAAGTGATTCTAAAAACGCTGATTCGTCTAGCGATAAGAGGTATCCACGTACCTTCAAAGCCCCAAAATTCCACAGGGGGAATGGAAAAAGGAGGGTCTAAACAAAAGGAAATACATTACTGCGGCAGCAAGGTATGAGGGGGAGAGGATGAAGAGTATTCCTATACAAATATGAGGATATTTGCTTTCCATCCATCTGAGATTCCCTCAATTCAGCCCTCTCCTCGTAATTCCCGTGTTATCGATCTCGAGTGATCTAACGTGAAGTTCTTGCGAGCAACAGTGTATTCGTGTGCTCTCACTCTCACTCGCGCACACACACACACACACTCGCCTCCCATTCTTCGCCTTAACTAAAGTCGGACTTGGAAGGGTTCCTAATCTGGTAGAGAGCCAGACTTTCCTTCCTGCGTCTCCCTCATCTCGAGGTAGACTATCGGAGATAAAACTAGGCGCTGAGCCGATGGGCACAGTAACGTGACGCTACCAAATGCGAAATCATGCCACTGTACACGATGAGACGTGAAGATCGGCTGAATTCATCTGTATCCAGGCTGGAACATTGCCAAGGTCAAGTGGTCTGGCAATCCCAACACCGCTTCATTCCCATCACTGCCCACCTCATGCCCCATGGATTCACAAGTGCCTCTCTGAATCAACTCGTGATAAGCACGGGCGAGAGAGAACAGAAAATACCAGCCGCGCACACTCCTACCGGATTCCTGAGCGGAGTGAGCTGAACTGCCATGGCTGAGGAGTACAGATCTAGATTACACCCAACACGGACGCTTCCCACGAACCGTCACAATGTCGACACCGTAACCATATCCTTTAACGACTCCTCACGGTTGTCGCGGTCATGTGAACAAGGACTTGTAAATCGAAAAATAAATTCACAGCTAGAGACGCTGTGCATAAAGAGGGACGCGAATACGAGGTAGAGATAAGGAAAGAGACACGGAGAGGATGCACCAGTGTAGCATCCTCCTATCGCGTGATCCATGCATGCAGGCAACAACGTGAGAATGACAAATAAGACGAGATGAGACACCTGAAAAGGAAAATAAGTAACTTCCATCTCTCGTCGATCAAGTCCCCACATGGGACAGCACAGGAAAGGAGAGAATAGAAGAATCTCTCCTCCCCACGAGTTCGTTGTAGGAAAAAGGGAGTAGGCAGAGGGATTCCTTTTATAATACCCGCACACGGGATAGGAGGGAAAAGCAATTAGTAGACATGCTGCAGGGCTTCAAAAACATTCGCTCGACGAGGAAATGAGATCCTATGCTACTTCTGTGCGCACGAATAATAATGAAGCCTCCACCAAAATTTAGTGCGCGTTTGTTAGAGGTTCGCCAAGGTTTATCGAAGCCGTTCGTCACGAAAGGTTGCACTGAAAGGAAGAAACCGCAATGCAATATCCCGTTCGAGCAATACAGTCAAGTCTCTTTATATTGTCCAAGGCGGAAAGAAATCCACCTAGAAGGCATAAATCTTAGGGAGACGTGCCTCCACTTTAAGTTGAAACGTATTGGTTGGTGGAAATAAAAAAGTTCGTTTTTCTTTTACCTCAGTTTCTATGGTGAGACCAAGCAAAAAAGGGAAACAGACTGACCCTTTCTTTGTCTGGGTGAAATGGAATGGAGGCAAGTCCCGTTACATGGGAGGACCCTTCTTGCATCGGCCCCAGGGCACGCGATCGGGTATTTAATTTATGCCAGCATTTCATATACTGGTTCCTGACCATATGACGAGGTAAGACAGGGGCTTACAAAAAAAAATTCTGGTATATACACGTTTTAAGATAGAATAGATCGTGAACTCCTCCACAAAATGAATTCCTGCAGACTCATATTTTCCAGCTGTCCGAAATATTCTATGCACACTGGATGAAAACGTCATGGACCAGAAAATATCATCACCCATGAGACACTCTCTACACACGCACAAGCATGAATAATTCAGTGAGGTGTTTTTACCTATCTCGAATCGGTTCCTCTTTTCCTCCCAGCCATGCGAGAGAAACCAGGATAACAAAACCCTCGTGGAAAATGCAACAGGGCTCAATGTGAGGCCTCGACATCGGCTGAGAAATGGAAATAAGTGCTCCATCCATCTAAATATAAAATGAGCAAGAACAGAGTAACACTTGAGTGAGCAATCCGCGCCTGCAATTTTCCATCTCGCTTGACTCTACCAACATGTTACATAAACTGCACACAATCCTAAATAAAAATATTAGCTTTTTTCGTCACGGTTCACATTCTCAAAGCTCCCCTCCACCTTCCTTATCGACTCCGTCTCCCTCGTATCTTACAAAGGATTACTAGTTTCCTCTCCACCATTCCGCTTGTACAAAACGCCACTCCATCATAGAATCATCGGAGGAGGTCCATTCATCAAGTCTCTCCATCATAAACCTGCCCAAAGGGTGATGTCTTAAGGTGATCCTCAGATGAAAAGGTCGCTAGCCCTTCTTCCTCCAAGTCTGAGTAGGAAGGAGAAGATGAAACAAAAAGAGTCGATGACAGCATAAAAAAACCTACGCGACCAGGAGAAACTAGTCGAGAACCGGTTTCTACAACTCCTGCCTTTCAACACGATATCACTACTACTGGAAGCACAAAGTTATCACATATGAGAGAGAGAGAGAGTTAAAATGTTGGTGCACATGGGAGTACTAGATCGATGTATGTTCAAGGCCGTCTGCATGTTTGCGTCACACGTGCCGAGTACTCTTGCTCAGGACCGGTATCCAATGCGAGTGTGAGGTATTAGCACTGGCGTTTTTTCCCTTTGACCTTCCTTCATATGCGTCCACCTCTCTTCTGCCCCCTTTTGATATTCTCTTTCTATACATTGTTCTGTTCTGTTCTGACAGGGCAGGACTACTATGAAATAGCCAAATAACCGACTTTCCTCCCCGAGCTCGCATGATCGACCCGCTGAAGGACATTAATATGTTTCAGCAGGTCGATTACAACACTCAATATGAACATTTTTACATGAGATTACATGAGATCTAATTTCCATTCCCTGCAGAAATATGCAGAGATGGAAGCCCATTAGGGTTCCATTATCTCAAGCATCTGAGTTCCATCCATGTACTCTATGACATATATCTCATATATGCAGAAACACGAAGTTCAGGGCTATTGCATTCCTGAATCCAAAGTAGAACTGTACGGCACTGCGACTACTCAGTAAGCAATTCCCAGGAAAAATGAACTGCAATCTCCTTCGTGTGAGATAAAAAGTGGACCACCTCAAGCTTCCCTCTCTTACACAGCTTCCCTCTTCGCAAAAAATACGCGATTCATTGGAGAGCGTCAAACATTTTCCTTCAATTGAAATTTAAAAAAAAAAGCGCGTGGTATGTCAGGAGTAGAACTGCAGAACATGTCTTTCCTCAATCCAAGACCACTAGGCAGAGGATGCCGAAGACCTGTTTACCGTGGTGAAATAGAATGAAGGCTAGGAGTCGTCTCTTATCAGAGGCTCCATGTGGCAAGGCGCTAGACATACCGAAGGCCGTATTTTATACCCCCTCCATCCGGAATAGTTTCTTTTTTCCATTCTATCCCTTCGTACTGAGTTGCAAGTCTCTCTTCTTCCGTGTCGGGATCGGGTTTCTCACCATTATTTATCGATTAGTTTATAGCCTGTCGAGAGTTCGAGTGTGCAACGCTACGCGATCGCAATCTGCTCCTCACTTTACACCGTTACATTCATTCGCCAAGCTCTTCATTCTCGAGAAAGCATAGAAAACCCTGCGATGGGGGCCCAAGCATGAAGCAAGAAGGCGCTTTTGACCCACTTTTCGAGAAAGGGGACGAATGAGGCATTTGGAAGAAGGTTGAAACGCAAACCCCCTGAAGAGCAAATTGCTGCCTTCTGTCTCGGGCCAGCCTCGTATCCCTTTCACCCTTAGACAAAGGCCAGTGCTTGCGCAACGGAGGACACAAAAAAAAGATATAAAACACCCTAGCATGCAAACTGGGAATCCAAGTATGCAATTAAGTAAGTGGGAAGTCGGCTCTTTGCATGGGATAATCGAGATCTTGTCCTCGCGCTGCCACATGGGATCGGATCGATTGCACCACGCGAACCGGGTCGTAAGGAACTATTGATTGGGACGACGAGGTAAAATGAGGTAACGGGATATATGAGCCAATCCACTGGGCACAATCGGGAGCAGCACATTCTGCAACACGGACAAGTGATGAGGAGGATTAGACGTGGTGATTCGACACCGAGGTGATAACTCAATCACTGTGGCGTGGGAAGGTGGCGAGGCGAGGCGAGGGGGAAAGGAAAAAGCAGTCTGCAGAGGGTACAGAGAACACGGCCACGCTGCATGACGGTGGCA